ATGGGGTCGAGTGGGACTCATGGTGACCCTGTACCTGCCCCGGTGGTTTTCCCAGACTGCCACTCTTCAAGAGAGCAGACAGCTAGTCTTCCTCTTGAAGAGCCACTGGTGGTTTCGAACTGCTGACTACGGTTAGCAGCCCATTGCTTAACCACTGTGCCACCAAGCTGCATTCCCATAAATGCTGGCTTTTTTCGTTACTAAATAGTTACTATGTGCTTACTTGTTCATTGTCTCGAGCTTTTAATGGGTGCTCTACAAAGACAGAGACTTAGCAAAACTAAGACACAGTTGCTATTTTCACTGTTTCTCAAAATCAAGAGCTTCTTCTTTTTCAAGGCAATAAGAAGATTGAACGTAAAGTGAACTTACTGTACTGTTAGGAAGGTCTCAAAGTAACGTGGTACTTTCCCCCAGGGCCTCTTTGTCTTCTTGGTCCTTTTCCGGCTGGTGTGAAAGTGGGCATTTCTCTGCTTTCACACATGGCCTTCGGTGGCTTGGGCTCTGGTTTGCGAGGGGCGCACACACAGTGGGGTTTAGCTGGGCACCAGTCCAACAGAAGACGGCCTGCTTCTGTCTGGTAGCGGTCTCCTGACGGGGGCATAGAGAGGGGTACATGGGGAATTCAGCTCCTCGGTTTCTCTACATCTGTCCATTAACTTTTCGCTTTAGGTTAGCTTAATGAGTCCATTCCTTCCCTTATCACTGAAACCTATTTGCTCGTGAGAGGGGATGTTGCTGTATTGGCATTTCTGGAGAGCATCAGTGGTTTTCTGGGCTAGAGGACTGGCCTTGCCTGTGCTTTTTGTCACCAAGCCTTACTAACTGAGGTCAATCAGCAGTGACAAAGAGCCAGCAGCAGAGAAGGCTGGGCCAACTTTCCACTTTGGCTTAATGCAGAGGCACCTTTAAGTCGATTGAAACGGCGAGGCTTTCTACCGAGTTGCATTTATGTTCTGCACTTGGTGCCATTGTTTGATATGGCTCCATGCTGGTGGGTGTGCAGGCTTAAAGCAGAATGGGATGGTTGCAAGCGTCAATCATTATTTGGGGGCTTACATCTTCCTTCATTACTCTTTTACCTGGAAAACCAGGTAAACGTTAGCAGTAGCGTGTGAGAAAAGCCATGTAAAGAAACAAAAACAAAGCAGAAAGAGGAGGCTCTAGGGTAGGCGTGGGGAAACTTTTCTTCCACGGGCCATTGGGATATTTACAACATCATCCTTGGACCATTCAAAATTACCCGCCTAAAAAGTAGCCTACTACATTTGGTCACACGTTTAATTAACTCACTCCTTTATACGATGACTAGAAGGAGCCCTGGTAGCGTAGTGGTTACGATTTGGACTGGTAACCTCACAGTCAGCAGTTTGAAACCACCAGCCCCTCCGAGGGAGATAGACGAGGTTTTCTGGTTCCATAAAAGAGTTACGGTCTCTGAAGCCCGCAGGGGCGGTTCTACTCAGTCCTGAAGGTCACCGTGAGTGACGTTTGGGGATAGGATGGCAGGAGCTGCTTCTCCTTGGTGAGGTGTGTGATGTTAGCTGGAATTGATGATTTCTCAGTCCTACTGGGCCGGAGGCCTGAGTGTGGCCCGAGGCCCGAGTGTCTGCGCTCCTGCTTCAGACACGTAGAGTCAACCATTTAATCAGTAAAACCTGTAGCTTCTGTGTAAGAAAAGGTTTCTCATTTGTGACTTAGTTACTTTGATGAAGTCAAAGAGTTTATAAAGAGCAGCATTTCCAAATGTTTACAGATACTGTGCGTGTTTGTTGGTGGGAATGATAAATCCCGTTAGCATGGTATCCTTGTTATCTGAGACTTTGAATTCCTGCTCTCTGGTTTACTAACAGTGTGGTATGCCTCTCAAGTGCTCCTCTACCGTCGGGCTTAGAAAACCAACCTCAGGGTCGAATAAGGTAACGAAAGGAAAGCACTGAATGCTCAGTGCAAGGTCAGCGTTCCCCTGCTACTTCCCCTGTGCACTTTTCCTTTTAAGCAGAGAATGCATGTGTCTCATGTTTGGATATGATTATAATTACCGATCCGATCTGTGTCTGTGGTTTGAGCGTTCTTTCCACACGGTGCACAGGTGAACATTATTCTTTAACTCGGTGGCTGTTGTCGGTGGAATCATATGGCCACTGCAGTTTCTTCACTCCCCGTGGTTGACTCATTTTCATTCTAAAAGAGCCAGTCATTGGGCTGGCTAGTGCTCACTGTTGTACAGCGTAGCCCACACACCTTGAAGGGCCATTATTTGCTTTGTTGGAATGCGATAGTTTTCTATTGCTCAGAAGCCATCATTTGTCCTCATTAGAGTTCTATTGTGAGTTGTGACGGAGTCCCTGGGTGGAGCAATTGGTTAAGCACTCCTCTACTAACCTCAAGGTTGACAGTTCTAACTTATCTAGAAGCTCCCAGCGATAGAGATAGGGCCTTCTGTTCTGTAAAGATAACCCCTTTGCAAGCCCTATGGGACAGTTCTGTGTCACATGGGGTTGCTGTGAGTTGGCACTGACTCAAGGCCACCCAACATTAACTCAAGGGAGAGACTTTCCAGTTTCTGAGCTGCTCACTGGACAGGCTGGGAGTTCGAGTCTATCCTGAGAGACGCTGAAAGAAAAGCCAGGTGACCTGCTTCTAAAAACTCAACCCCGGCCACCCCCATGGAGTGCGGATAGACAGGGCGCAGTCAGTAGTCAGAACTGAGCAGGCATGGCCTTCTTGTCTTTTGAAATGAGCTGAGAGGATGGCACCTTGCCAAGGCTTGCGAGGGGTGGCAAGACTCTTGTGCTGCTGTGTTGCTGTTAGGTGTACAGCGACCTCGTGTGACCGAGAAGAACCGGCTCAGGGGGCTTCTAGACTGTGCTCTTCACAGAAGCAGACCGCCAGCTCTCTCGCCTGCCGAGCTGCTGCATGGGGTCCCAGTTAACACCACGTAGGCCGGTGCACGACTAGCCAGGCTCTCAGGACTCTGGAAATAGCCTGGGGTTTGTGGGCGGCAACAGGTGAGGAACATATGGCCGCTCTGCCTTCCCCCACCTCCATCCTTCCTCCCCACTGGAGGATCTTGGTACACCATCTTGAAAAGGCCACTGCTGTTGGTTTTGGTGGGGAGCGCATGGCTCTTGTCAGCCGAGAGGAAGGAGGTCCCGGGCTCCTTCCCAAGTAGTTCCTGGCTCATGGTGGATGAGCAGTAAATGAGATGACTGAAGGAATTTGTGCATGAATGAATGAAGTAAACTGTAGCCTTTGTTTATAGTGTTGTGTAGTCCAGTTACTTTCTTTTAGGCCTGAAGAATTTCCCATAAGGATTCGCTTCTCAGTGAAGAATTGGTCTACCCCTCGAGGGTTCTTTCTTCTCAGATTGCTGTCACTCTTAAGACCCTATGGCCACAGGATAAGTGAAATCATCTTGCACTAAAAAAGAAAAAAAACTGGAGGTAAAATGCACACAGCATAAATGTAGCCATTTTAAAGCAAACCATTCAGTGGCCTTTAATACTACATCCCCAATGATAGGCAGTCACCATCTCCGTGTAGTTCGGAGCCCGTTGGTGCAGCCGCTGTGGCATTCCGTCTCACCGAGGGCCCCTCTGCCTTCCCAAGCAGCATGTCCCTGGAGATGGCCGTGGCCATCCGCTTGATGCAGAGAGGGGCAGCAGAAAGAGGAGGGCCCTCAATGAGATGGAATGACACAGTGGCTGCAACCCTGGGCTCAGGGTGGCGCGGGCCGGGCAGGGCTTCCTTCGGATCGTCGGGTTGCTATGCGCCGGAACCGACTCCATGGCACCTGTGTTAGACAGGGTTCTCTAGAGAGATAAAACCAAATTCCTGATAATGTAATATATTTATTTATAAAGACAATTAGATCTATAACGAGAAATGAACTGTTAAATCATATACAGATAAATATACAGTACAAGAAATAAACAGTTAAATTAGAAAGCGCTGCAAATGGCTCAGTGCAACTCACATCCGTGAGAGAAAGTTGAGAGACTAGCAGTCCTTCAAGTCTAGTCTGATGCCAGATCTTCCTCTATTTGTAGAGAGAGCTAGGCTATGTCAGCACAGCAGCCAATCACAAGGCAGGTCACCAATCGCCAGTCCCCAGCTCCAGAGAAGTCTTAAAGGGACCTCAACTTACAGCAACACAGTCCACAGGCTAGACGTCCCACAGGCAGTGTGGCCTTTAAATTGAGGCACAGAACAAGCAAGGCAGCCGCACACTGGTCCGATGATCACAGGGCGAGAGACAAGAAAGGCAAGGCTCACCAAGCCATCCATCTCTCCGCCCCTCAGTCAATCCCACCTGCATTTATCAGCTAGGCTGGCACAATAAACTGTCTCAGCACCCAACAACAATACCAAAGTGGTAGGATCTCAAAGATGCCGCAGGGGAAACAAAGGCTGGACCTCCCCCCACATCCAACGCCCAGGTCAGGTCTCAGTCCATCCCATTCCTTTCAGCGGAGTAGACAATGCCCTTCAAAACAGCCCATTCATCCCACAGCCACACAAAGTCCAGAACCCTCCTATGTCAGGTAAGGCATGATGCCTGTAGGGTCATATTACGTGGCCACAACTTAAATGTACTTTGTCTCTGCATCTTTCTATTTTCGTGATTTTAGTTAGAGTTGTCCTTTTTCCTGAAAGTAGATATAAAAACGTAGCTTACTTTATTAATAAAACTGGAACAAAAAATCCTGGAGAAAAACAGACATGAAATGAATTTTCTACTGCTATTTGATTGACAGGTGCTGGTAGCACACTGGCTAAACATTTGGCTGCTAGTTGAATGGCAGGCTGTTAAAACCTATTAGCTGCTCTGCTGGAAAACAAAGATGTGGCAGTTTGCTACTGTGAAGTTCTACACTTTTGGAAACCTTATGAGGCAGTAAATACCCTGCCTCCTCTGTAGGATCGCTATGAGCTGAAGTCTACTTGATGGTAAACGTTTTGGGTTTGGGGACTACTTGATTCTTTGCCTTTGTTAGATCTTCTAGAGAAATCTCGAGTTGTGAAACAGCCAAGAGGTGAAAGAAACTTCCACGTGTTCTATCAGCTGCTCTCGGGCGCCTCTGAAGAACTGCTCGGTAAGTCTGTTTTCTGTACGAGTGTCTACTATGGACATATTTGTGAAAAAAGATTTATAAAGATAAAGCTGGCCGAGTTGTCAGTGGCCACTTCTGATACAGGGCTGCTTCTGAGTGCTAATGGACCATCCGCAAGAAGAGCCATAAAACAGCCGGAGCCACTGCTTACCGTAGAGCTCCCCGTAAACTTCCAGCAAGCACAGACCACAGTTTGTACTGGGCCGCAGTTACCATGAAGAATGAGAGACAATGCCATGCCAAACTGTGGGACTATCGCTAGGCAGGTGTCCTATGGTATGATGAAATAGTATATTAAAGGCATCCTATAGTAAAAAAACATGGAACGAGCCTTACCTAGTAAGAATAAGTGTAAAACATCAGAGTTTGATATATATGTAAACAGTGATAAAGACTACTTCTGAGAAATGCTGTTGTTGATACTGTCCATTTTTGTTCTGTTGAGTCAGTACATAATCTGAAAGTTGTTTTATCTAATGGGCAAAAGGGATATGATATTAAAGATGATTAAGATTTATTATCTGACGTGATAGGTAAACTTAAACTTGAACGGGATTTCAGCAAATACAACTACTTGAGTCTGGACTCCGCCAAAGTGAACGGAGTGGATGATGCAGCAAATTTCAGGACTGTTCGGGTAAGAGGGAATGCTTTGATGACCCTTTAACATGAGTCACACAACTTTGCTCAATGGCAATCGGTGCGGTTCTGATTTTTCAGGGCCTCACATGCTCTGTAGGTTCTTAGAATTGTACAAGGATTTATTCTACTTTCTTAATTTGATTTTTTTTTCATTAACTCAAAAGCATACTCTGTTGTGAATGCTGTGTTTTGCTAACACATGCATTTCCACTGCTTATCACAAGGAACGACCATATTATATTGTCCTTGAGTTACACTCTTTCAGTGATGTATTTAAATTCCAAATATTTTTATAGACAAACACCAGTAGTTATTTCCAAGTGTGAGAACTGCCCAGGGATCATGAATTAAATTTGGTCTTGCCAAAGGAAGCCATGTTTTTATGCAGTTTTTAGAAAAATAATGCATAAGCTGCAATGGTTAGCATTCCACATGCATTAGAAAAGGAAATTTTTCCAAATAACACTCGACTTTTTAGTGTTTATGTGCCACTTTGGAAATTACTTCTGTTATGACATGGTTTTTATATCTGGGCTTTACTTTTAATGACGCAGCTGGTGGAGACTAAGTAGGGGCGGTCTGGGCCGATTCAGAACTAAAACACGACTTGCTGAGGGGGATCAGAAGGGACGAGGGGTTTCTTATCTGTTCTCTTTACCCACACATACATTCACCCATGAGGGTAAGTAAAACAAACAAACAAAAATTGTTTTAAAAAAATCACAGAAATTTTTATTAAGCAAAGATATTAAAATCTGAAAGCTCCGGTGTCATTGTGGCTTCCATGTCAGATTGCTAACAGCAGTCAGCAGTTCAAATCCACCAGCCTCTCCATTGGAGAAAGATGAGGCTTTTTGCTCCTATGAGTATTTACAGACTCAGAAGTTTTGTTGTTTCTTGACATAGTTTCCATTGAGGTCTGTACCCCTCTGAAGGGGATGTCTCCATCTCTCTAGCCCTTCTGGTAGCTCGGGTGGGGTAGTGGTCACTCACTGGGCTGCTCTCCTCGTGGTCCACAGTTGGACTGCCAGGCACTCCCCGAGAGTGAGGCGAGGCTTCCTAATTCAGTAGACAGTGGGAGACTCTGGACCACATGGCCTCGATGGCAGTGACTTTGGAGAACCCTTCTTTGAAGAACTCGGTGCCCTTCAGTTCACCCGAGGTCAAAACAGTTTGCTGAGTCAGAAAGGACTCGATGGTATTGTGAGTTTGAGTTTACAAATAGTAGCTCAGATCATGTGTCTTTTCAATATGTTTTGAATTTTTGTAATCACAAGTCGGGAAAGACCAGATCGGAGCTGTACGGGTTCCTAGCCTAGTCCTTTCTGTCCGCAGAGAAAGACGCGGTTCCTTGTAATGATAAAGAATCCCTTGGGGTAACCCTCCTGGCTTTTCCCCCTCACCAATGCAGTTTTCAGTTTTGTGCAGACTTCTCCATGATAGCCCTCACGGTCGTCCTGTGTTTGATAACGTCTATTAAGACTGCCCTTTTGGAATCCATAAAAATAGTTTCCATAATTTTTTGAGCAGACGTCTGCTTTGAACTTAGGCCCAGAGGATCTCCTCAGAAACCATTGTTTTGATTCAATCAGGTTTTTTTTTAAGGTACTGTGATGAGACCAAGACAAGTGAATTACTGAAAGACTATGTCTACACCATCCACTGAGGGAGACGTGTTTGCACGCGGTTTGTTTGGAATAAATCCCCACAGCAATAGTTTAGTGTACTGAATTGCTAAGATCGGAGTGGGGGTGTAGACACAGCTCTGTCCTCAGGCTGTTCTTCCTCCTCCCCCCTGTAGCTCTGCTTCTACCGTATCTTGTGTGGAGCCCCAGAGCCCTTTGAATTAGACATGTAGACCACTGAACAAGACTTAGCCCCAGACTGGTTTTATAGCAGATCTGCCACAGTGTGCCTTTTTAAAAGTTGTTTTTAAAGATGTGCCCCCCAAGCCCCGACGTAGAATATGCGTGTCATATTTATCTTAAAATGGCAAGGACAGACGTGCAGAGGGCAAGCAGACGCGTCCTTTTGTTCTTCCAGAACGCCATGCAGATCGTGGGCTTTATGGACCCTGAGGCCCAGGCTGTCTTGGAGGTCGTGGCGGCGGTGTTGAAGCTGGGGAACATCGAGTTCAAGCCCGAGTCCCGAGTGAACGGCTTGGATGAAAGCAAAATCAAAGACAAGAACGGTGAGGCCGTGCAGACCAGCCTGTGTGGAATTTCTCTAGCTCTTCACCTGGAAGAGGCAGCTTTGTTTGCATTGATTTGAAAGCCTTACAAGGGAACCTGAACAGCCATGTCACTGCGTGTTTTCGGGGTTTTGACTTACTCGTTTTATACTGTTCCTCTTGAACGCAAGGAACATAAAACGGTTAGAGAAGCTATGAGCCGCGAACATGGAGCCAGTACCCATTGTGTGTTCCTCCCTGCAGAGTTAAAAGAAATTTGTGAGCTGACCAGCATCGATCAGTCAGTTCTAGAGCGAGCGTTCAGTTTCCGAACAGTCGAGGCCAAGCAGGAGAAGGTTTCCACAACGCTGAATGTGGCTCAGGTTGGTACATTTACCTTTCAGAAGAAGCGTTTTAATAAAAGTCTATGGTGTTTCTTTATAAGTGAAATAAAAATTTTAGCTTCAGTGTCTTTATACCGTATTCTAGGTATTGTTAAACAGGTAAAAGCCTCTGTTTTCATGGAGCTTAACAAGTTCTAGCAGGAAGAATTCAAGAATTAGTAGGCATAATCCTTAAGTGAAGCAGCAATAGCAGGTGTAAGTGCAGGGGACAGAGAAAAATAGATAGACCAGGATAAGGGAGAGCCATTTAGAGATGAGAGTGAACGAAAGAGCGTTTAGGTGAGATGGGAAATGATTGGAAGTTGTGGAAAGACAAGGGGTACAACTGCTTGTATTTCAAAAGGGTGGGCTAGCTGTGTGCGGAGAAGACGGGGAGAAGGGAAGGGATGGGATATGCAGGAAAACCTGAAGAGACGTGCAGTAACCCAGGTCATAGACGGCTGCTTTCAATGTATCTCCAGTGCCGATCACTATTTATTAGTATGTATTTGATGATTGGAGTCTCTTCTGGTGGGAAAGGGGAGTATCATGTTGATTTTGTGATGGAGAGCTGAGCAGGGATGGGTGCAAGATTGATGATACGGAGTAAGAACCCTGAACTGTAGGTCGGGTACCTCTTCATGCTGTTGTGAACTTGGGTTCCATAAATAATTTCTGTGAGCCCCTTTGTCTCGTTTGTCAAATAAAGATGTTGATCATTTATCCTGTTTCCCATTCTGGAAGCTTGAAAATTCATTCTCAGTCCTATTCCCCTCATCGACCGTCTCATATCTGTGCTATTTGCATCTCTCCTACCTGGCACCTCTTCTCAACCACCCTGCTGATGCCTCAGACAGGTCCTTGATGTCGCTCAGGGGAGCCCGATTGGGCTTCTTGCCTTCTGCATGGTTCTCCCTCCATCATTAGTGCGTTCAACTTGCTTATTGAAAATAGTAACAGGAGGGACCCGTCACTGAGAAAGACTCTATTTGGTACACTGGAGGGGTGAGACTAACCAGGTGTGCAGTGGATGTGATGTGAAAGATTAATCCAGCTTGGCTGCAGCTAGTGATATGTTTCCAGGAGTCAGTCCAAGGTTTCAAGCTTCTTTCTCAGTTCGTGTCCATCTTACAAAAAGAATTCATATGAGGGACAGTATTCAGACCAGAGGCAGAAAAAAGGTTTGCACAGAATGAGTGAGTTCATTAAGGTGTGAGTTTATTAAGGGCCCCAGCTAACCAAGGGCCCGTGGAAACGAAGAGCTGGGTTTTCATCCCATGAATGGTGAACCTTCTGTTGGCCGGTCTCCCAGCAGGTCTCCTACTAGCTGGTGTTCTGTAACATAGCTGCCCTTTCCAGGTCTGTGCACCCCCTGCACCCCAGAGAGTATGCTGTGTCCAAGCCTCTAAACCAAGGGTCAGTTCAGCCATTGAGAAGGTCGTGTGAACATCCTGTCTGTCGCTGCCCACACTTTCACTATCCGCATCTCTTGCATGCATAAGAACCATGTGTCTTACCTGCCTTTCACCTTCCTTTGTCCTGGTGAAGCGTGGGGGAAAGGTGCCTCCACCTCCCCTTTGTGCTTGTAATTCCGTCCATTGTCAACCCCACCCCCACAGTCCTGTGTGTCCCATTGCTGAACCCTGCCCCCCCACAGTCCTGTGTGTCCCATTGCTGAACCCCCCCCCTCCCCAAACACATACACACACACCTTTGCCTGGTTCTGTCTGGCTAACGGCTAACAAGAAAAGGACAGGGACTGAAGAGTTTGCCTGCTGCAGGCCCAGGGTGTTTGAATCAGTAGGAGTGTGGAGGGACCAAATAATTTGCATTTCAGATGAGGAAGAGGATGCTGCTTCTTGTCTGGGGCCTAAACGTGGAGATCACAGTCCTGAAGGTGATTTTCAGTGGCCCTGAGAGTTAAGTCTGTAATGATGTGATGAAAAGAGCTGTACTGGGGCACCTTTAGGAATACGTACATGCACGTGTGTGTGATTTTTATTGTGTTTGACGCTTGCTTTTTAATCGTTTACTGAAACCAGGCCCAGGTACCTTGTACTTTAAAAGCTTACTGAGTTACCTTGCATTGCTGGGTAAAATTTCCACATTTACAAAAAACCTTTGGCATGAAAGACTTTGGCTTGCAGTCCACAATTAGTCAGGTTCTTAGTCCAGAGTTGTTTTTGTTTGTTCTGTTTTCAGTATAGCTAATGTTCTGAATATCTGGTTCTATTGACCTTATCTTGTTGCCAGGAAGGTTTTGATTGCAGGGAGAAGCGATTTCTCTTAGGAATTCTTCCTCATAGCTTCCATTCTTCTCATCATTCTTGCCCCATGCCTCATTTTCCCTGAGGCATTTTCGATCATTCCCCAGATAGGATGGCTACTACTGGAAGGCGGGAAACTCGGCTTCTACCACATCCCCTCTCACTGCCTGACTGGGGGAGTAACCGACCTGCTGATCTCAGCGCTTATCTCCGCGTATACGTATCCTCTGCCCGCTCGCTAAGGGCCATATGTCGGCAGCCTGTGCTTTCCCTCCTGCGTGCCCGCATCCTGCGTGCCTTTGCTCTCTCCTTCTGCCGCTGGTCGCTAGCCCTCACTGGTAGCATGTTCTCCAAGAAGCCCTGCTGGATTGCATGCCGTGCTGCCCCCAGGTTATTCTGGCTCCTCCAGGCCCCACGTATGTCAGAGTAGACCTGCACTCCCTGGTGCTTTCAGTGGCCACTGTTTCACATGTGCATCACCAGGCCTTTGTGCTGTGGCACCTGTGGGTGTGCTCAAACCTCTAATCGATCGATCTCTCCTGCCAGCAGTTGAGCACAGTAACCGTTTGGTTGCAGCGGCCCCTGGCCCCTCTTCTTGGAGCACCCTCTTTTCCTCCCCTGGGCGTGGGGTCCTGGTTGTTCCACTTGTGCTGGTTTGATCTCTATGTGAGTCTGCTTCTGTGTGAGCTCCCGCAGTTGAGCTCCAGGCTGGCTGCATCTCTTGTGTCTCCACCTGGCCTGGTTAGATTCCTGGGTCCTTCGATACCTGGGTCCTTGGCCTCGCAAGAGAAAGAATTCACACCAAAGCCTGGTTTGTGATCCAAGTGAGTTTTTATAAAGAATAGAAGAAGTTTCAGGTTTTACACAGGCACCCTCAGGGCACTTCACACCTGCACGTGGGGACCCGAGGCCGGAGAAACCGCAGCACAGCCAAGGAGCAGCTGGGAAAGAGGGCGTTGGGCTTCTGGTCCTGCCTTTACAGGGCCCTCTGCTGGGAGACGGTGCTGGTTGACCCCACTGGCTGAATTAAGCCCACCTGGCCTAGACTGGGGTCCTCCCAAATGTTCTGGCTTCCTCTCTCAAGGGCATGCCCTTCAGCCTTTATGGCTGGCTGGGCTCACCTGATTCTCTGCAGCATCCTCCTGTAGGGGCGCCTTGGCACAGAGAGGGGCAACTCCCTGTCTGCTGCCTAACAGCCTGACACTCTGGAGCAGAGTCTGCCCAGGATTTTCTCAGGGAGAACCATTAACACCAAGACCCAAGTGCCTAGCAATCTGGTAGATTCTGACTCAGGGGGACCCTGTGCAGCTGGAGAAATTCACGGTCTTTCCAGCACTGTGCTTAGCACCTGGGGTGGTGACTCAGCAGCACTCGGTGCCTTCCCACCTCCTTAGGGAGCCTCAGGGGGCAATAAAAATCCCTGCCCAGTTTCTTTATAGGATATTTTTATGGAGATGGTGTCCTTGGGTGCTGTTGAGTCATCTCAGACCCGCGTTGACCCCATGCGACAGGTGCTTCCTGGGCTGTCACTGAGAGAGATCACTAGGCCTTTATTTCCGTGGAGTGGTAGGTGGGTTTGAACTGCCACCTAGCCTCCTTCCTGTGAAGATGAAGTTACCTGAAATCAGACGGGACAAGTCATGGAGTGCAAATGGCCAGGCCTGGGCAAGGAGATAGAGCTAGAGCAGCATTCTCAACCTGTGGGCCGCGACCCCTTTGGGGGGTCGAACGACCTTTCATAGGGGTCACATGATCCATTACAGGAGCAAAATTACAGTTATGATGTAGCAACAAAAGTAATTTTATGGTTGGGGCGACACCACAACGTGAGGAACTGTATGAAAGGGTTGCGGCTTTAGGAAGGTTGAGAACCATTGAGCTAGAGGGATACAGCATTAGTCATGTTTCACTGACTGAAAGGGAGTCTTTTTGTTATTATTTTATTTTTTAACTTAAGTGCCTTTAGCCTGGACTGCATTCTGCCTGCTGTTCTTCAACTTCCATCAGATGGTCCTTGGAAAACATTGAATTTTGCAGCCCGTATTTGAAAGAAGCAACCAAGATACCATTGGTTGCGAACAGACACTTGAAAAAGTACAGAACAGTTTCCAGAATGACTTGCTGCCCTTAATCAGCTCCTTGTTGACGTGATGGTTGTTGGATGCAGGTAGCACACAGTTTCCTCTCCTAAGGTGGAGTAGGAGCCGAGAAAAAAAAAAGAATTGTCACTGTGCTGGTAGTGTAGTTTCTTTTCTCCTTCCTCATAAGACAGCACACACATGCGCGCGGTGTCTGGTTCATGACTCAACTGCCGGTTGCTGGCCCCGCTGGCACGCACTCGGTGGCAGTGTGTGTGTGTGTGTGTGTGTGTGTGTGATGTGACGTCACACCCCCTGCTGGGAGTCTCCTGTTCCACTCTCGCCTGCCATCAGTGCGCCTCCGGTTTTCTTTGTTCTGTTAACATCCAGATGAGTGTTTTCGTTGAGAACGCTTTTGAAATGTTTAGAATTAGTTTCTTGGAATGAGAAAAAGTGTAAATAACTGGGTACGACCAATTTGCTTAATTCTTTTATGGGCTTGACTGTTCATTCAGAGAGTAATAAAAACCCGTTCTGAAAAGAAACTGGAAATAAAACAGCATTAAGTATCCTTTAAAATGTCTTTATAATTTCACTGAAATGAAGTATTGTGGTGATTGTGGGTGTTGAGTTTCTCTTCTTTTTCACCAGGCTTACTACGCCCGGGACGCTCTGGCCAAAAACCTCTACAGCAGGCTGTTTTCCTGGCTGGTGAACCGAATCAATGAAAGCATTAAGGTACTCGTTTTCTATCACCAAATACATCGGCTGGAGTCAGAGTGGAAGCCTTCAGTTAGAGAGAGTTTCATTCTACAATCAGAAAGACGATAACAATGCAGAACAGTTTCTCATTGAAAGGAATTTACTGTATCTAGGCCTAACGTTTGTCAGAGAGTGTACCCATCTCATTTTGCCATGAGGTAGGAATGTATCTCACAGTGGGTAGTCCGATGTTCTTGGCAGAGTTACTTCATTGAGAATCAGCACCCCAGCTCCCTGCTCCGGCTCGTCTGCTAACTAGCTGTCAGTCTGCTAACTAGCTGTAAACATATGGTCATGATGGTCATATTACCTCTCAAGGCACTACTTTGTTTTTCTGTAAAATGAGAATATTGGGCTAGTTGCTTGGGAAAGACCCTGCCACTCACTAAGATCTGCCCTTCTGATTAAGCACCACTAATGCTTTCTTTCTTTGGTGCCCTGGTAGCGTAATGGTTACACATTGGGCTGAGATCTGCAAGGTTGGCTGTTTGAAACCTCCAACCATTCTTTTGAGAGAAAGATGGACCTCTCTATTCTCATAAGCAGTGACAGTCTCAGAAACCCACAGGGGCAGTTCCACCCTGTGCTATAGGGCCGCTTTGGCTCAGTTTTGACTCAATGGACATGAATTTTGTTATTGTTTTTGTAACGCTTTCTTTTCAAGGAGCCCTGATGGCACAGGGGGTTACCAGTCGCACTGCTAACCACATAGTCAGCAGTTCAAAACCACTATGCACTCTGTGAGATAAAGACGAGGCTTTCTATTCTTGTATAAAGTTCGTCTCAGAAACCCACAGGGCAGTTCTACCGTTTCCTATAGGGTTCTCGAAATAGAATGGCCAGTGAGAGAGAGAAAGAAAATGTCTTCTCTAAATAATTCATGTGTTATGAAAACTTCTGAAACATTCCATACTCATACCCTATGGTAAATTCAAAGGGAAATTACCATTATTCTCTTGGTAAAGAAGCAGAATTAAATGGTAAGGGATAGCTTTATTCTTTGCTTTGCTTTGTTTTCTGTCATGCCTCATGGCTATAACGGTAGTTAATTTGAAATTTCTTTTTAAAGGCACAGACAAAAGTGAGAAAGAAGGTCATGGGTGTTTTGGACATTTACGGATTTGAGATTTTTGAGGTAAGATGATCATTTTGTAGCACTGTTATTAAAGTGTAACATGTGGAAATGAAATAGTATATTCTACCGATTGTATATATCAGAAATACTAACTTTCCATGTACAGTAACTTTCTTAATGGGACAGAATGGGACATGTAAAGTACCTTTTTGCACATCCAGGAGTGAACATTCTAATCTGTCACCTGTAGCCATTTGTGTGTAGGTTGTTTGGGAAGTTAGAAAGGTTGGATGCCTCATCAGAGATGAGGAACCAATTCCTAGTCATGGACTGACCATGGCTGGTTACTTCATCTCTCTGAGACTCGGAGAGGGAGGGTTGGGATTAGAAGGTCCCATACAAGAAGCTCTGATGATTCTTTTGGCTGCTGAGAGGGCACAGGTTCAAACCTACCAACCACTGCATGGAAAAGAATATGACAGCCTGCTTCTGTCAAGAAACAGCCTCGGAAGTCCCATTGGACAGTTGTGCTCTGTCCTACCGGGTCGCTATGAGTCATCTGACTCGCTGGTTTGGGATTTTGATAGGGTCTCGTGAAGGACTCATTGAGCTGTGATCTTGCAATATGAGTTCTGTGAAGGTTTAAACAATGTTCTGCCAAAGTTCACACCGAATTTTTTAAAGACTCCATGCATATTACAAATTAAAAACTTTCAAGCCACATACTTAGATTAAAATATGGGTTATGGATTGGGCTGCTAACCATAAAGTCAGCAGTTCAAACTCAGCAGCTACAGCACGGGAGAAAGATCATGCTTTCTACTCATCCTTTAAAGATTTATAGGCTCAGAAATGCAAAGGGGCAGTTCTGCTCTGCCCGGTTGGGTCACTCTGAGTTGGAACTGACTCAATGGCAGTGGATAGGATATTAACATTTATGGTGCAGACCAGGGGTGTCAAACTGGCGACCCGTGGGCCACAGAGGTAATTTTTTGTGGCCCACAATGCTCTGAAATAAAATGAAAATAGAAAAAATGATATGAAGAAAATAGCACTTAGGGGAGCCCGTTAACCCTTTAACTACTGAAGACGAGTAAAATCACAAAATCAAAGTTGCTTGTTTTAATTGAGTTTGACACCCCTGGTTTAGACCCTGCTAAGGAGGCTTGGTGGTGCTCTGGTTAGACATTGGATTGATCAGCTAACAATGAGTAGTCCAAACAAACAAAGGCTGCTGTCTGTTCCCCTAAAGACTGACGGTCTCAAACCCCGCAAGGTTACTATGACTAACAGACATGAAGAAACACCCTCTACAGCCCTTTTGTTGGGTTGGAAATGTCAAATAAAGTGGGTTCTTCCTGTCTCAGTTACCACCCTCCAGTTATTAATCTGTGAATTCTTTAACAACTAGGCTTTTCACAGAAGGCCCACCAAGAGAGGAATACATGTCCTAAGAAATCAAGTTCACGGACTCCTATACAAACTTGAGCTGCCCGCGGTGGAGGCTCTTCCAGGGAGGCTCTTCTCAGGGTCAGCACCTTCCCCGCAGCTAGACCCAGTGTTTCTAACAAATGTCTTTTCCTGCTCACATTCAGTATTTTCAGTCGTCAGTCTCCTTCCCTGATCATGTTCAGTGTTTGGCAACTAGTGGTCAATAATCAAAGACTTAAAAAGAGAAATCCAAGGCTCGCTGTGATAAGTGTTATGTGTGTTGTTTAATTTAATTTTCACGACAACATGGAGGAAGGTAAGACTCTGAACAATTAAGCAACTCTCTTCAGAGTTACATAGCTACATAGTGACAGGCTGGAGATCTAAACCCCGAGCCTCATAATACTTTCTTTCTTACTAAGATCGAAGCCAGGGTCATTGCCTTATCTTGGTACTAAAATTTACAAGGTTCCCAGTAGGTGGCCAAATGCTATCATGAATCTCAGGCGCCCTGTTTCTTCGTTGTAATCATTGCAAGCACCAGGCCAGCATGGGGAACGACTAGTCTTTGTGCTGGTAGCGGTGTGTGTGGGCCTGTCCGTTTCCGTCAGGCGGGGAGCAGTATGCTGTGTGCTGTATATTTGCTGCCATTTCTGGGGTGCACCCAGAACACTGCTCTTCAGGACAGCACCTGATTGTCCTCATACCCCTTTAGCTGGCTCTGGTAAGGGAAAGCCCCGGTAGCTTGGTGTAACAGAAGTCAAGATTAATGACACAGGAGAGTTACCTGAGTCTACTACTAAGTTACTGCCAAAATTTCTTTTTTTTAGCAAGACCTCAAGTCACCATCAATACATGGGCAGTATGTCAAAGGCATTCTTTTACTCTTGGCAGAGAGAATGGTTTGCACCGGGCACATTGCAGGTCTAAATTTCAGTGGCCTTGATGAACAGGGCAGATGGTACGGAGAGATTTCAGTAGAAAGTTTGGATTAAAAGATATACTCAATGATATTTCTGAAATCAAAGAAGCCTGAACTGATTTGATTTGATTACTATTTGCTAGAAAGAGATTTACTGATCACTAGACCATTGGGCCATTGTGTAAGGTTGCATCACAATATGTGGGAACATTTTTATCCTTTAATGTGGGGCCATCAGCTCGGCTTCATCTTCCAGGATGCGCTAAGATCTAATTAGCCAAGGGAAAAGAGACCCTCTGCCTGACACCAGGGGAATGTCTGCTTCGTGTGCAGGTGACCATGTATAAGTGTAACACATATCAGACGGTATTTACCAAGTGTCTAATGGGAGCCACAGAGCCAGTCAGTGGTCAGCAAGACAGAGATGCTCTCTGCCCATACAGATGAATTCTTGGCCCTAAGACTAAGGACTTTTGTCAGCGGAGGACACATCTCATCTTGTAAAATCCAAAACAAACTCACTGCCATTCCAACTCACTGTGACCCTACAGGGAAGGGTAGAGGATTTCCAAGACTGGCATCCTTTACAGGTAGAAAGCCCGTCTTTCTCCCGACAAGTGGCTGGTGATTTCTAATGCTGACCTTGGGTTAGCAGCCCAATTAATAAACCACTAAACCACTGGGGCTACCTTCCTGTCTGGTAGGATGGTCTTATTAGGAAGTTAGATTACTATTTTTTTTTTTTTTTGAAGTATGCTTGCTTATCCGAAGTGGGGGTGGTGGCGGAGGGTAGAAAGGGGAAGCAATAGGCTAGAGGGTAAATAGGTATTAATTTTGGTGGAGAAGAAAATATGCTACCAAATGGGGAAAAATAAAAACAAAGAAAGATCGTGGGGAAGAGTTAGAAAGCAAGCCATTGGAAGGCTTGATAAGTTATTTAATGCTGAATGCAAAAATGATGATCAATGAAAATAATTTTGTTTTAATATGGTTGATACAAACCCTAATGCTAGCTGAAGTTGGATGTTCTTGGTAAAGAGATGCTTTCTGGGCAAAATGTGCTTCTGAAATCTATGTTGCTTATGGTTAATTGAAGCCTGTCTTGTTCGACATGCCCTGCCTCCTCAAGTTATATCATCCTCACAATGAGGGAAATTGCTGATGAGAGGGCTTCAAAGGTTGTGGGAAATGTCCATGATCTTTTAATCCCATTCTCCCCACAAACTGTTTGAAGCACCTCGTGTATTTCCAGAGGCTTTGCTTTCTACAGAGGAATCCAAGTTTAGCTTCACATTGGAATCCCCTGGGGGAGCTTTGGGACCCTAGGTGTTCCAGGTAACCCTGTCCCACCACCCCAGTCACTGAAACCGAATTCACAAGCTGGGGCACTGGCATCTCTCCAGGCGATGCTACTGTATGCTCAAGGTTGAGGCCAGCGCTCTCCTAGCCAGTTTCTACTGAGTGGACTAGAAATTCCACACATACCCTGCGTTCAGGCTCTTGGACTTCTGCACGAGGTCCCATTGTGAACTATCTCCATGTCTACATGCAGTCTTTACATAATTCCTTTAAAACGGAACAGCGTACAGTTGTGCTCTTTGTAAACAGCATGTTAGCCAAGACCAAATCCAGTCTGTCCTATGGGTTCACAGCACATCGAATGTTGGCCATACAGTCACAGAACATTCCATTCCTTTTCTATGCAGCCCGCTGCCCTCTTCTTCATGAATGTTGAATGAATTAAGATGCATTTTTCTTTATGATTAATTGTCTCTATTTTCTTGTCTAACCCGTCACAAAATTAGTCCTTCAAATGTCTGAATATCCAATAACCTCTACCCTAATTTATTTTGGGAAGCCAGAATAGAGATTTATTTAGGCATGTAGGGATACTTTTACCTATTCTTTGATACAGAATTAGAAATAAATATTTCTGTATCATGTATAGACACACACACACACACACACACACACACACACACCAGATGCCAGTCTATATTTTTGTTTCTGTTGTTATTGTTAAAACACACTAATATACCAGGAAACCCATAGTGTTGAACGCCAGGAAACCAGACCATTAAGGGTTCAAAAGTGCCCCAGGCTAAAGCACAAGGTGTAAGATCACCGAGGAAGGTGTATTTAAAATTCTCATCAATGCAAAGTGACCATGGCTGTAGGTATTTCCCATCTTACAGTGTATGATAAACTTTTGCCTTTGATGTTCAGTAAAAAAGACTGAAGGCAATTAGAGATTCCCTGGGCATTAGTTTAAAACTAGACAGTAAAAATCCAGAGTATTCTTTGGTTTGTGTGTAATGCTCTCATCCAGTCTCATGATCCCACTGGATAGTTCCCATGAAAAATGGTTTGGAGCCGAACCGGTGGGAACCCTTCCTTTGCTCTGGTCCTTCTTTAACAGGAGAGGGAAGCTGGTTCATCCCTGCAGTCACGAGGTGTTGAAACACGGGTGACTACTAGACGTTCCCACACCAGCGGCGTGAATAACTAACTGCCTGCTGGCTGCATGTGATCTGATGGCAGTTGGGGAAGCAGTTTAGCACAGCATGGATACCCATGAATATGGTTGATGATTAAAATGCATAGAGGAAAAACAATCTAGCCATAAATCGTGTAGAACAGATATCCAACTTTCCAAAGGAAAGAATGAGAACTCGGAGTGCTCCAAAGTGGTACAATCAGGCTTGGATATTCTTATATCTGAACGGATGGCCTTGGAGCTCTGAGAAACATCGGGAGTATCTCCATCAAAGACCAAATGCCGCTCTTTACGGCAAATAAGTTAACAAGGAAGCTGACCAATCTAAATTGATTTTGTTGGTTTTTTTTTTTTAAGGCTTTATCTGGTGATATGGAAATGGCTAGATAGTTTACTGGGAATTGCTAATCCTTAAAATGGAAAATGTAAACAGCATTTGTGCCCTGGTAGTGCAAATGGTGAAACACTTGATGGTAACCCAAAAGTTAGTAGTTCTCATCCACCCAGCTGCCCCGTTGGAAAAAGGCCTATGGGCCTTCCCACTCTCCAAGGGGATGATCCGGCGCGTTCAAACCAACACAACAGCGCCACCCAACAGCACTGGATTTACAGCATGGCTCCTGCTTTTGGGTGATATTTCTGCAATTGGATTGTTTTACTCATATTTACGAAGAGCACATTTATGAACAGTTTTTCTTAAAATTTACTCGATGGAAGTAAGTAGGTAGCTATGAGAATAATGTTACATGCTAAGCAGAAGGTTTCTAAAATTTTATCCTTTTAAAAAACTTTGTATTGTAAATTAGGTGTGAGTTTACATTCGCACATTCAGCAATTCAAACACATTTTGTTTCAACTCTTCAGTTGCCAGCTCCTCCCTGAGCCAGGCCCTCCCCGTGGTTCTTGTTTTAATTTTTCATTTCCCCATCTTTCTTCACCCTGTGAACTCTGGCTTGATGTAAAGGCTGCCCTGGCTTCTCAGATGGTTGGTTATTCTAACTCCAGGGTGAGGTCAAGTCCAGACCTGAAGGGTGACCAGGGGTCATAATCTCAAGGGTGCCACCAGTCTCTGTCCAGTCACATGACTGAATTTTCCCATTTATATGTTAAACAACACTGATTTTTCAACGCAGACTACCTTCCTCTTTTTAAAATAGCTAGGCTGGATCGAGAAACAATCATATGACTAAGTGCCACATTTTACAGTGGCCCCTCTTTGGTTTATAAACAGCCGTGTGTCCCTGAGCCTGGCACCCCTCCTATGTATCCATCTCATGAACCAGAGTCTCCCAAGAGGAAGTGGGCAGCAGCTTGCTCGAATGCGTGACTCATCTCTTTTCCATGTTTCATCCTTGGGATTTTTCTTCATTGTCTTATCCTTGCTGAGCAGTAAGGCCAGAGCTTTGGGGAGCACCTTCAAACAGTACCTCCAGGAATTCCCATTGTCCCATTCCCTCAAATAAAGCTCAGAACCACACCGTCACCACACAGACTGGCCGAGAGAACACAGGGAAGCAGCAGGGTGTCTGGGTTCTGCACACTTACTTCCCAGCTGTAGATTGGGACAGCAAGTGTTTACTGTATTTATCAGTATACAATAGATGCAGAGTAAAAACTCTAGGATTTCCTTCAAACATTCTGGAGTTTCCTTCAAAGGGCAGAAAAGGCATGCATACACTTAGGTATTAGCCTCCACTGCCCTTAAGGCCTATAAATGTTTTTTCACATTTTGTACTCTAAAAACAATAAAAGAAAAATGGTGAAATGGCAGTGGCAGCTCTACCCCTTGTCTTAGAGATGGTGGGTGGGGAAGGAACTTCCAGGTGAATATTATGTGTACAGGGAACAAGGTCGTTGAACCTAGCATTGTAATGTATTCAAGTTAAAAGGTACTGTTAATTACATATTTCATTTGATACCAAATTTTGGAAACTGAAGGTGTGTTTGCAAAAGATGCAGAAGATCCCTCTCCTGGGAATTAAGTTGATGTCAGCATAGATAATGTGCGATTCTAGTTCTGTGTGATTTTGCTTTGGACCAGCGGAATAAGTCAAGTGTGTGTTCTCAGGCCATTTCTGGGAGAATACGCTTCGCCTTGCCACTCGGTTTGTTTGTTTTGGAAGGGGAGGTGCAGCACCTCGCAATCCTGGGGCAGGGGAGAGGTGGCTGCTTCTGGATCCTGCTGTGTCCCTTCTCTCTTTCAATGACCTGTCCACTGACTTTTGGGGGTGGATATGGGCTGTGGGCTTCTGTCACTTGCATTTATCTTGCTTGTGAATGGAGAAATATAGATTGCTCGATTAGGACGCTTTGGGACCTAAACACATGTATGACTTAGCATTATTTCAGTCAAATTGTTTTTATCCTGAACTTAGCTTTAAGTAGTAGAACCGTACTTTTGATGTCTCATCTAATTATTGTGGTCCCATCTTCTGAATGGATGGAGCTTGTGTGTCTTGATCCAAAGTTTCACGCCCATCCAAAGTGCAGCCTCCATGTTTAAAATCAGTCATTTGCGACACTGAACAACAGCAAGCGTTACTTCTAGAAGTCCGTTCCTCATTAAGAACTGACTGCCTTTTGTATAATCTGTCCCTTTTTGCAACAGACTGCAGTAAGTATGGACTGTGTGCAGTGCTGCTCTCTTGCATGCGCCCGTGTTATCCGCTGCTCCGCTGTGAGTCTTGCCTTATACGGATGTTGATTAACTATGTGGAGACAAAATGTAGAATTCACACAGGAGTTTTTCAATGTTGAGGGGAAGTTTAGTTGGGCACTGACTTAATTATTCAGGTGTTGCAGTCGTGAGGCCTCACCTCTGTTATCTCCTCTGCTGGTGTGTACTTCATGGTCCTGGTTCAGATGTGTGCTCCGAGCCACAAAACACTGATGCCTGTCCTCTTCCTCCTCATTAGCGGCTCCCTGGAGATCTCGCATGATTTCATTAAATTAGTTCCATCACCCCAGACTTCATAAATAATAGGAAGGGGGTGTTCTGTGAATCTAAGAGAAACCAATGATCTGGTCATCTAAACCACTAAGATTTCAATTACAGTTGTAAGTCTTCTCTATGTGGTTATAGTGCTGTGTAAGTACAGATTTCAGTGAGCCGAGAAAACACCATTTTTTCTTACATGAATGACCTTATTATTACCGTGTTGTACACCGAGTAGAGTTGCATCTCAGAATTAGGCCCAAGAATTGGAGCATGTGGTTCTTAGAAGTTTGTGTGGAATCGAGTAGTGAGGAATGTCGAGGAGTATGTTCTAAGGGTCTATTTGTTGAGAGTATTGAAAATAGGTGTTTGCCCTTCAGTAAGAACATTCAAGCTAAAAATGAATAAAACAAACTGATCCATGGCTGAATTTAGCATTAACAAGATCGGTCAGTGTTAAGTGTATATGGGTGGGCCCTTTACTATTTAGAGGTAAAAATATCCTCTTGAGAGTCAGGTCGCTGCGAGTGGTGAGAAATCCGTAGTTGCCTTCTAGGAAGACTCTGGTCAGGTGGCTGAAATTTGACCTGGGTAGGACCAAAGTGGATGTTTTGGTCAGCTTGTTGAAATCTCCTTGGCAATTTCCCTTGGTCTCCTTTGTGGTGGAGAGAAGCCTGTGTGATGCAGTGGTTCAGTACCTAACTACTGACCGAAAGGTTGGCAGTTCAAACCCACCCACCTGATCCACAAAAGAAAGACCTGATGTTCAGTGTCTATAAAGGCTAGGATCAAGAAAACCCAGGGGTGGTTCAGGTCCGCTCCATGGGATGCCCCAAGTGGAAAAGGGACTTGATGGCACGTGAGAACCATCTGCACAGGCCGTTTTGGAGGCTCCTTGCTCGGTGTGTGTACACGCAGAGTAGAGACTTCAGTTTCGCTCTTTGCCCCGGCCACTCATAGCTCACTAGACCGGGGCTGGCCACTGTAGTGAGGGAAGAGCCACATTTCCCCCAGCCCCGCTACAAAGCAAGAAAGTGGACCGAGCAGAGGAGCCCAAGTGTCCGTGCCATATTTAGCTCTATCGTGAGACTGTGTTAAGTGTTCGTTCAACGCATGTGCATCTTGGACCTCCGATGTCTCCAAAATACATTCAGCTCTATGGGTTATTTAGACATTTTTTAGGCAGCAATCCTCCTTCAGAGAGTTCTCAGATCACCTGGTAGAACTAGGGGCGGTTGGGTTCTAGCGGGGTGATAAAGCCTTGTTCTAAGATGAGCTATGGTTCCCAGCTAAGGGGAGCATTTGATATACTAGTGCCTTCAGTTCATGTACCATCACATGTATAATGAGACCTTGCTCGCTGCCATGCAGAGCTTGGCATACCATTCAGGCTGACCAAAAACAGGGTCAAGCCTTGCTTTAAGGAGTATGCAGTCTAGTGAGACAAAGGAACATGAAGGGAATCGGCATAGACGCACACATACCCACGCGAGAGACTTCAAAAAGTGTCTGGGAAAAATCCCGATTTTTCATTCCACTTCCCTGTGAACTCGCTGATGCCCTCTCTCCTGGTTTTTGAAAAGCAAACAGGGCTGGTGTGAGCAGAATGGGAGCGCCGTAAGGGGAGCGCCTGACCCTGAGGGAGGTGCGTAAGCGGTCAGGGTAGGAAGCTGTGCTTGAGCTCCGAAGTTTCACCAGAGACCAGAGGAATAAGACCTGGGGTGAAAGAATGTGAATCTCGCTGGTTATATGCAGGTCCTCCATTGGGAATGCATTACTGTTTACAACCATGTCTGGGATGCCTCTCTGTCAGCTAAAAATCTCCATCTTTAAATACTGCTATGTTGTGGATACTTCATTCATTCGCTTCTTCATGGGTCATTTCTCAAGTGCCTGCGATGTGCAAGCCTCTGTCCAAGGAGCTGTGTGCTGAGCCCCTGCTACATCTGAAAGACACTGTGTGCTGTTTCTTGTGGGTGGAGATGCCAGACAGTCAGGGCTCGCCGCCCACTAGTGGCATGTTTCATAAAGTTCTCCTGATGTTTCTCTGTACAGGACAACAGCTTTGAGCAGTTTATTATTAATTACTGCAATGAAAAGCTGCAGCAAATCTTCATTGAACTGACTCTTAAAGAAGAACAGGAGGAATATATACGGGAGGTAAAGTTCAAGTACTTTTAACACAGGCATGCACATTCTTTTCTTTGGTGCTCTTAGATTCTGGATTCCAAAAACTGCAAGGGGGCTTCAAAGAGTTGCTCATGGAGTTTGTCCACGAACTACTTGAAGGCCCTTCCTATGTCAACTTGAAATCACAGGTGGACACACCTGGCAGATATGCAAGTTGAATCAGAACACCAAGCCACAAGATTTTTTTTTCTTGTTGTGGTATTGTTTTCTGGCACATATCGAAGTTATGCTCACACCACATTATGATCTGTTAAGTGTGCAATGGAGTTATTTTTTAAAAATTGAACAAATGTGAGAATTGCCAAGATGTGACGCAGAGACACCAAAGGGGCGTATGCCGTTAGAAAGATGGTGCTAATCCAACTTGCTCGACAGAGTTGTCACACACCTTTCATTGAGAAAAGGACAAAGGAGCATCTGCTGAGCTCAGTGAAAGCAGAGCACTCAAACCAGGTGTCTGTGAGCCTGGGAACACTGGGCGGAAGCACACGCCTTCAGTTCCTTGACCAAGCACTGTCTTCCTCCAGCCAGTTCATGCTGATGGAAGTGCAAACCTGGCTCTATCTATTCTGAGGACTGAGGATAGTGGCAGTTACAAAACACTATAATCTTTACATTTGCCAAAATTTAGGGAACTATAAACCCACTCACCCCTCCAAATGTTTGCACACAAAAGTTAGAATATAATTTGAGGCTTTAATATTTCAGGAATAACGTTACTTATTTTTCTTCCTTTGCTTTAGTGTCATTTGAATCCATTAAGGATTCTCCATTTGTTTTTGCCTTTGTCTCTCAATATAGATTTGTAAAAAGTGGTTGTTATCCCCTGTGACTTCTTAAAACAACCCATTTACCCTAAATCATAAATATTTCACTCTTCTTCTAGACCGATTGTTATGCTTTAGAAACATTGTCCCGCACCTTTTAGTAACATAAACATCCTAAAAGCACCATTCAATCTCTTCCTGTCTTCTCATCTTAAAGAGAATGCTCCAACTTTGATCTGTACCAGGAAACAGTTTGTACAAATTTTCTAAAACACTTCTAAGAGTACATAGGAGGATACCTAGCTTGGGGTATGAATTAAATTTCTTCCCCTTAGGACAAAAATCACTTATGGATAAAGTGTAAGCAGGCATAGAATGATTACATTGAGCCTCGCAGACTTGGCTTCATAGCTAGCATTAGAACCAGTAGATTGAGTTTCATGTCTTTCTTTTTGTGGAAAACACATTTTTTTAGCACTGGGCTTACTTTATATTTGAAATAGTTAACTGCCCCTACAACAGTAAATATAAGAATATCAGCATAATCTCAACTGGCCTTTATTCATAGAGTTGTCTTCTAAAATTAAATGTGATTAAAATTTATGAACAGAATCATCTAGCCTTAGATTCTTGGGATCAAGTTCTGACTTATTTCTTTATAAACACTGTAAATTTATACAAAGTAATGTTGACCCAAGGGCCCCTTGAGTAGATACTTGGCCCTGTACCAGCAAATTACATGGGAAATGGCCACAGATGAGAGAGTGGACTGGGAGGCCGTTTCGGGACAGCTCAAGGTCATTCATTACAATAAGATTGAGTCAGAGGTGGACGGCTATGTTAAACCGGAAGATGATATTTGCAGTCCCAATTCTATATAAGATATACGCAGAGAGGAAGTAAACTACAGTGAGATAATAAAAGGTAATATCGCTTGGTGACATTTTGATTTTGTTTTTCTTTTCTTTTTAGGACATAGAATGGACTCACATCGACTACTTCAATAATGCTATCATTTGTGACCTAATAGAAAATGTGAGTACTTAAGTAAAACTTCCTGAAAAAAAATTTTGGGGGGGGGGTTATAATAATCATGTGTGAATTATAATAATCATGTGTGAATGATCTCACTGCCTTCAAAGTTAAACAGTAATGTTGTGAACACTTGAACACATTGCTTTAAGGAACTACAGCATTCTAGAGACTTTATGGTAGCCATAAGAAATCACATGCCATTCTTGAATAGACACATAAACACCCGGGCATTTTGATATGTCCCCGGGATTCCCTAAGGACGGTCCCCAAGGGCGCCAGGGCCTTGGACACATGCAACAGCATCTCGCGTGTGGCGGAAGTCCAGGTTCCCAGCAACAGGAACACTGATCAGAGTGGGTTCAGAGCAGCCATCCCAGGGTTCTTCCAGGTGAAAAATCCACTTTATTTCTAAAGCTCCAGTGTCTGTTCATATTAAGATCAAAAAGGATCAAAGAACCTGTTTGGAGGTGAATTTAGCGGGACACCTGAAGTGGCTGAGGTGTAGGTAGACCTGGCTTTGGCTGCTGGGAAGTATGCGGAGACTATTACATACGTGACTGCAGTGACCAAGGCTGTGGAGTTTTTCAGGTGACCCGAGTATGTGAAAAGCCTTAAACTGTGGTTTAAGGTATTGTATACTTTTTACCAGGCCTTCGGGATCTTACACTGCAGTCTGAGTTTACTGTAAGTAAATGAATTGTTGGAAGATGGATTTGTATGTGAAAATCAGGAAGTTCTTTTGTCTTGGCATTGTTTGCAGCCCTGGCTTTGGGGTGCCTAAGCTTTATTGTCTCACAGTCCTTTTAACTGTGAACTTGACATCTCATCGAGGTGAGAGCGATGCTCTTGGGATGAAGTCGCAGCTTCTGTAAATGTCAGGGATCACTCCCTATTTATCTTTAACCAGTCCGTTTGGAAATTATGTAATTAGCCAATATCGCTTCTCAGTATTCAAATGTACTACCACGAGTGGAATCTCCGATTGAATTGGCAACACTCTAAACCATTGCTCTTTTGCTTTTCTTAAATGTAAATGTACGTTGTTTTGAAAAATCAGAACTATCTTAGAAATTAAACACTGCGATTCCATCCAAGTAATTAGAAACTCTTGTAAAATTTGGAGATTCACTGTAGGTTATCCTGGTAAATTTTGCGATCAAGGGAATTTGCTGTGAGAAAGTTAGCATTCAGAATTCCTGACTAGGAAATTTTCCTTCGTCAGCATAACATTGTACTTAATTATTTCCTTTCAAGAAAATAAGGGTTGGAGGCGGAGAGGAAAAGGAGTAATGTACTTAATTTAGTTTGATTATCTCAGACAAAAAAATCCCCTTGCATATATGATTGGAAAACCTGGTGTTCACGCAGAGGCCTAAGTACATAAGTAGAGGAAATACTTCCTTCCAGCAGCATTGAACAATGACGTTTATTCTGGGGCTGTTTGGAACACACTTGATTCCTGAGAGCCCACACTTCCCTTGGGTTTTGTTCTGGGACCTGTGAGGATGGGGAGGATGGCGGGCTGAGCCTGCGTGGAAGTGGGTGGGGTTGACTGTGAGCGGGACGGGCTCTTCTCTTTGGAACTGCACCCTGAGCCTTTCGTTGGCCTGGGCCTATTGGGGCAACCCAAGGTTGCACAGCCTTTATTTAGTCAGGTAGAAAATTTCCGATTTATGGTTCTGTTTAGAAATCATATACAAGCTTGGAATACACAACAAAGTTTCCCCACCTTGACCATCCAGTTAGTCATTTTATGTGGAACCAGCATTTTATTCTAAGCAGATATTCTTAAAACCAGCTTGGTTGCATTAATCATTAAAAAGCAGATTTCCAAATTACAGCTCCCCCACCCCCCACTCTCCATAAAATAAATGAACACATGAACAATTTGGAAACATCTGAAACTAATTTCCCTCCCCAGCTGAGAATCAAACATAAGCTCCAGAAGACTGCTTTCTGGTTGATGACAAAGTATTATATTATACAGACTGTCTATGTTTCTGACTTTAGATGTGTTTCAGTCTCAGCCTTTGAGGATGGCACAGGGCCGGCCATTGTGTCACTCGGTTGTGCGCTGGTCCCTGTGGGTCAGAGCGACTTGATGGTGCCTGACAAGAAACAGCACCTTCCAGAGCTGTCTGTTTCTCTTTGCATTTTTAATCATCTGAGTGACAGCCCACTAAGGTGGTCAGGGTGACCCATCCGCCCTGCTCCGTGGAGACAATGGAGTCGGCATCGAAGGGCTGACAAAGCAGTCCCTGCGCGCCCCCCTCACACCTGGGACACGGGAGGGGCTGCTTTCGGTGGCATTTTCTTACTTGTTTTTCTCCCTCTCCCTTTTGTATTCACTGGGTGGAATTGTCTCCTGTCCCAGTTGATTGTGTTTGATGGTGTAATTAGGAATCATTATTAGAACAATGCCGTGAGGAAGAAGGAAGGACACTTTATTTCCTCTCCGCAGAACACCAGCGGAATCCTGGCCATGCTGGACGAAGAGTGCTTGAGGCCGGGCACGGTCACCGACGAGACCTTCCTGGAGAAGCTGAACCAGATCTGCGCCACCCACCAGCACTTCGAGAGCAGGATGAGCAAGTGCTCGCGCTTCCTCAATGACACGTCTCTGCCGCACAGCTGCTTCAGGATCCAGCACTATGCCGGCAAGGTATACATGGGCAGCCGGGACCACCAGCCGGGAGCATGGGTGCTGAGTAGCGCTGCCCTCCTAGGGCTTTCAGTGGAAGTCGATCACAAAGCCTTTCTTACAAGGGACCTCTGGGCAGGGTGAAATTCCTAGCCTCCCGGTGTCTTGGGGGCTCCTCGGTCTCAGAGAGGCATCCTAAAAAACCGCTCACTTAAGAGGATCAGTTAAGCTGACATACATGTTCTGTATAAGTAAGGGGCTGGACCATGGTAAGTGAAATCATATTAATTTTAAGAACAATACCAGATATAAGCAAGGGTCTGAATAAATTAAGAATTTTGGATTTTATGATTGTCAAGCACCAACCCATGAAAAAGACCTGTCGATGCTAATAAAAGAGGAGTGTCGCTAACAACTAGAGCTTTTTAACGACT